TGATAAGGAAATGCCCATAGCCTGTTTGTGGGTAACACTAAAGATTGGAGAATAATATGTAAAGTTTTAACTATGGTTAAATAATAATGGTATAAATATATCACTGCTACAGGTTGCAGTGAAGGAAATATGGCGGTAGCAGTAAGAATATAGTTACTATTAAAAATGGTTTAAGAAGTTTAATATCATATTATTTGTTTACGTACCAGCTTGATATTATATCGAGCAACATTTTCCACATTTTGTTGTAAAAACAACTATTTATAAATAAATTCATGTTTGGTTTCGCTCCAGCGGTTCCCAATAACCAGTTTTTGTGAAAATTTACTTTTATAACTCAGCAAAACATGTGACATGTCACAAGTTACAATATGGCGAAATAATTTGATATTTTTTGTAAAAACAAATTATATTCTATTGTCAACAACCTTGTGTACGCATATCCTTGAAAGGTTAACTTTAGAACCCGGATTTTAAATATGTTTGGTAAGTAGGATACTACTTGTTGACACTACTTGCGTCAACCACAATATATGTAATAGATATATCATAGATAGACAGTCTAACCTAATTTTTCAAATTCTGTTTAATTACTCCATAACATTAAAAGCAAGCTATGTTTTCGGATATCGTTAGTACAAAGGTCTCTTGCTCTTACAAATACGAATCATGTAGTTAGGCAACGAAAGAAGTACGTTAAGACACGTAATAAATAAATAAATATAGGAAATCCCTACAAAACAGCGTAGATAGTGTTTCGAAGTAACTTCACGAGCGTGGCCCTTTTCCTCCCCATTCCTAGCGAAACCTACAGAAAAGAAAACAAAAACCTCGTTCCATAAATGAAACAGCCGAATAAACACAAGATTATATGTTCTGATGGGAACGATGTATCAATACTGAACACTGAAAGGATATAGCCCGTATCTGAAAGGTTGTAGAGCGATGGCCTGATGTGGCCGGCCATTTGTCTTAGGAGCGCACTTTGACTGGGAATTAGGTCACTCAGAGCCCTCATACATGATGCGTCGACACTAGAAGCGACACGGTAGACTTGCATGCTAAATTGGGAACTTCCTCAATTGGAGAACATAAATATTTAGTACCTATTTAAAGGCGATGCAAGAAGCGTGGGAGTCGTAATAATGCAACATGGTTTCATCATCAGTTCCTCATAAATTGAAGAGACGAGACGAGACAAGTTAACCAACTAATCATCATGATTAGTATCGTCTATTGCTTGGAAAAGGTAACCATTCCCGACTTTTCTTCTAAAAAGTATGATCTTTTTCGACCTGGAACCTCGAAACTTAAATCTCATATGGGACCTATAATCTTGCTAACATAATCTACCTAATCTGATTTACTGACCTCTGTATCTCTTCTATCTACAAGATATCTACGGTAGTTTCAGTATTTAATGAGCGTACCCTGATTCAGCGTTTATCATCACCGACAGTTAATAGTGTCTGCGAGCTCTATTGATTTATTCCAAGCATGCTTAACGCAACTAGGGCGAGAGAAATATATCGAGCAGACTTCTAGAATAATCTCTTTATTAGTATAAAGGTACATGAATACAGTTAAGGCAGTTTATTAAAACTTCACGTTATCAGGATGATCTGTAAGTTTTCTTTAATTGACTTTCCAAGGATTCTTAATTAAGAGGCAGGGGAGAAAAAGGATAACTTTGAAAAACTTTGAAGGACGAATGAAGGTTGTTTTGTATCGAGTTTGTCACTGTAGCTGTAACAATATAGATTCGACAATATAAATAATGTTTACAATTTTAATCATTGAAGAATTCTCTCAAATTTATTGCTTTTGGCATCGTCCCAAATAAAAATATTTTCATTTTTCAAATAAACCAATGTAACCAAGACCCCTCTCAGGACACGGTTATTAAAGTCGTCAGGATCTCAAGAAAATCATGTTTAACTTAACTTTGCAACACAAACGTTCCGAGAATATCTGAAACTTAATTACAGAGCAGACTAATGCGTCCAGTATAACAAGATCTGCACCGTGGACAATCTGTCTTTGAAAGTGTTGTTTATGAAAACAGTGTGGCGTGACATCGGGGTCATCTTAAAGTGGTGGTGGAAGATGGATGAAGGAGCAGAGTCAACAAAGGGTGAAATGTATCCAAGGTTCGGTGTCCGGTGAGGTGACACGCGATAATGTATGTTTTAAAGTGGGTAGTGTAATAGATGGGTGACTGCGGTCAAGTGATTTATAGTGTCTTCCTGTATCTATTGTGTTCTATTTCATTTTATTTATTTTTAAACCGTTTCCTTTAAATGATGTTGGAGTAAGCTTTCTTGTTTAATTGAAAGAGTATCAAGTGAGTGTGAGTAACTGTGGAATGTAGAAAGAAGACGCAACCTCCTTGATTCACAAAAAGATAGTCACGATAGACTGTGACGATTTTGTGTAGTGATATTAAATGCATATTTTTAAAGGACTTCACAGTTCAATTTGTTTTCCAAAACTATCCCAAAATATACAGCTCTTAACACGTTAAACGCCATGGGGGTCATCGGTGACCGACGTTAGCGGAGGATTTACCTTCAACAGTTTTTTATTGGCAGTCAAAGTCTTAAATTATGCGACTAACTCCAAACTAATCACTACATTTTAGTCAGCATGTCATTTCATTAGTAGTTATTTAGCGATGCACAGATGCGACCCAACCAGAACCAAATTATGTGCATTGTAGAACAGACAGGCTCTACATACGGCACGGAAGCTAGGCTATGAATACCATGTCCACATGTTTAATTAAAAGACATGAGCGTGTTACCTTAGGTCGAACATATTTGCTACTTTGTTTTCATTCTTGGAAAGATTAGTTTTATTCAAATAATTAAGTAATTCTTTTAGACTGCCTCCTTGGCCGAGTGATCGTAAGTGCGACTGCCGACTCTCGGGTTCGATTCCCGGGTCGGGCAGAGTATTACTGGGTTTTTAAATATTCTCAGTAGTAGCACGGAGTCTGGAATTGTGCCCGGTATATGGCAATAGGCTCACTCCCTTTTACATGGGACTCATAACATAAACACATACCAGTGAAAAGTGGGTGTTACATTGTACAGTGGTATAATGTGCACCTCTGCCTATCCCTTCGGGGATAAAAGGCGTGATGTTTTGTTATGTTAAGTATGTTAATTCTTATAGACTATTTACGGATCCAAGGAACAAAATAATCTTGAAAGTTCTTTCAAACTTTAAATTATAGGTATACCTGATAACATTATAATGTTCCAAATTACACAACGCTGAAATAAAAAAGAATGCAATAGATACTGAAAGGACACAATGCGTTTCTATTCATAGTGGCCATAGTCCCACAAAACAGCACAATTTGAATATAATACAAATATCTAAAGTTTTACACTATCTCTCGCGCCCAGCTTTGGTCAACGGCCGTCAACTTAAATATGGAAATTCCAGTTTATATACCCATTTGTAATAATTTACATTAATATGCTGATATTTTAGGAAAATATAGAATTTTTCGTGCCCATTTTCCAACTAACTAGGATATTTTTGAAATTCAGGCTTCATTTATTCCAGGTAAATTGAAATAATAGGTTTACGGATTACCTACCTAGTTACTACTTACTCTTAGCTTAATTATGAGATCTTTGGCGATCCTAATGAGACCTGATAATAGGGTAGATACCTAATTTTTATTTTAATGTCCGTCTGGTAGATTATTTCAAATCATTTGACACGTATTTTTTATTTGCTTACAGAAACGAATACTTTTCACGATATATTGATTTGAAATGTCACGTGACGTCACTTCTATGTACTTTTATATATGTACTTGATGTACTTATGTATTTTATACATAGAAATAACGTTTTAACCCCCACTTTCAAACTTTGATTCGTTACATCTAAGTATCATTTTATTATACAACAAAATAAAAAAGTGTTTAATATTTTTTCATTAAGTAGGTACCTGACTGACGGACTAATTAGATTTTTAATTTTCATACCCTGTCATCATCCCTATTACCTATACATAATAAAAATCTGCCCAATTTAGGTAAGTGATGTAAGGAAATTTAGAGAAATGAAAATGCATTATTAAAATGAATAGCAGTATTTTTGTCGCTTTGAATTTAGGTCAATATATAGCCCACTAAGCTGGTAGTTACTCTAGTGTGATGCCACTAGTGTTCGTCCATGTTTTTTGAAATAAAAACCGAATGATGAATAGTTCGCGCTATGAAACTACATGGCTGTGGGAATGCGATAATGCCATGTTTGACACACTAGCATTTCTGCGTGGAGGATTTTCAATTTGATAGTCATTTGATTTCGGATTTTTTACTTGAATTGAAGTTATTAGTTTGTCTATCTTAGATCTAAGTTGTATACTTTAGTTAGAACATCAAAAACTATTAATAAACCAGAAAGAAAGTGTCGACACATTCTCAAAATCTCCTTCCAATATATAAATTTTAAAACGAAACCTTCGAATTTGTTACTTATGGGCAATTATTGGTAAACGCCAAAGTAGTGAGATAGCAACACACATACATTCATTAGATAATCATCTTTCTTTGAACATACCTCAACCAAGATCATAATGAGGAAATTTCTTCACAAATTGAAAATGTCAGCTAAAGATTACATTTCAAAGGTAAGAGTGACTATAACAGACGTATTCATTACGATCTTAATCTTGACATAATGTCGCGGTCACAAAGATTTTCGAAGATTTGAACGTTTGATGGACGATCAGAAGAAACATTCGATTGTACCTTAAACTGTCAAACACCAAGCGTGCGGTCACCGGTGACCGCAACCTATTGTTCTATAATTGTGTCTACAAAACCGGTACTCGACGAGTTAATTGAAACTTACCTTTTGCTCTAATTTTTTATTTGAGTTTAAATGTCATATCATCATTATCATCATCAACAGCCTGGTTTATGAAACGTCATATGTTTCTTAAAAACTATAAAAAACTGTAAATTCACTCACCGTTTTATCCAGAAACCAGCTCGCAGGGAATATGAGAGGCACATAGGTGATCATATAAATGATGGAAGTCCACGACACTTGGTTGCCAGTCACACCGTAATAGTTCATTATTATGTCCTGAATTATCGTGAACTGAGTCCATTGCATGGAGTTTGAGGCCGAGTAGATCACAAACATGCCGAGGATTAGCCATCGTTTCCTCTTCACGTCATAGTCCCTCCCTCTTGCAGCGATGGAGATGTTATCCATTACACTACCAATCAGGGAGTTTCTCCGCGACTCCTCTTCATCTAAGATTATCTTTGGAACTTCAGGTTCAGCGGGGTTCAATAACCCAGTAGCCTGGGATAAATTTTTCTTCGTCATATTAATTGTTTTTATCGTCTCTAAAGTCTGTATACACTTATGCACTAGTTTTAAGACACTTTTTGTTTTATTCTGTTTATTAATTTATCAGTCCATTTGGTCCCAGATTCGTTGTTGATAAGCTTTCTTTTTAACTAATCTTGTAGAAGATTAGTCTAGTATCAGTCTTTTGTGATGCTGCTGCGTTTATACCTGTTAAGATAAATCGGATGATAAAGATAGTACATCTGGATGTAGTTAGTTTTCTAATCTAAGATAGTGTTTGAAATGTAAATCCCTTGTGTCTGTGTCTAAGAGAGCGGTTGCACGTTGTAAGACATTTTCTAACGAAGAATAACAATTTCTATTAAAGAAGGGAACTTTGTCATGCATAACTTTATAAGAAGTAAATATGAGGCAAAAATAAAAGATTACTAATTGTTAAATCAATCATGCAAAAATGGTTAATCAATTAATATCATTACAGTATTACCGATTCATTTTTTCTTAAAAAAATAATGTGGCAATGAATTTCAACATAAACTAGTCAAGTATGCCATCTAGCGACTGTTTTACACAGTAAGTCTTTATCTAATTATGTGCAGTTGCTCTTAGTGATTCGGAAGATGGCGGAAGTAGCTATATACATACATTTCTGTTTAAAAATATAACTTGTTCCACGACATTGAACATATCTAGAACATTAGATAAGATAAAAATTTAGACCTAGACCTATGCCAATCTAAGATGAGTTATTGTAATAAAGAGATGATAAGAAAATAATTGGTAGTCCACCGTACTTTTGCCAAACGTAATTATGATTCGCTATTGAGTACTTATAATATATACCAGCCTATGACATGATTTCAATAAGTACTTAAGTCGTGAAATATCGGCATACTGGAATTTCTGTAGTTACATAATATATTATAAATCTGAGTATATATGCGTATGAAATGTAATACAATGGATTATCCACAAATACATTAAGATAACATTATATAGGTACCGCTTTGTTAATTAATTTAGACACATCTTTATTAGGTATTATTATTCATGCTCGGTAATTAACACGGTAAAAAACATACAAACTAAACTATTTATAACAATATTTTATTTAACTCGTCGAGTACCGGTTTTGCAGACACAATTATAGAACAATAGGTTGCGGTCACCGGTGACCGCTTGGTATTTGACAGTTTAAATAATTTCGTCTTTTTAAATTATTTTTAATTAAATTACAAGGATCGATAAATTCATAAACACGGTCCTACAAATATTTTTTATCTTATTTATTCAATTCAAAATTTTGGTCGCTACAAACTAGAAGTAGATTTCGACACAACAGTTAGCACAATAGCTGGGCGATCAACTGTTGGACCCTGAAACAAATTCCCGCACAGACAAAATACTTAATTGTAGAAAATAGATAGTACCTAAGTATAGGTATTTACTTTTATGTCTAGCAGCTACTTACTCTTAAAACGAGTTTCATATCAAACACTAACTATACTTAACTAAAACACCAGAATATTTAAACAAAAAATGAGGCACATTTTATATCACTAAACTCACTCTACCACGCACGAAATTAAAATTAAATATCACTTAGTTTCCAAGTAAAAAATACAACTTTACATACGTTCATATGTGTTTAGTTTCCAATATAAACTGGTAAAGTAAAACATACATGGTTTAATTAATGAGTATTGCAGAACGGTAGCTTTTACAAATGGCCGGTTCATAGTAGCTCAATAAAAATGTGGAGCTGATAACGGCTGCAATGTCAGGGCCCATCTCATGGCAATGGCAGTGAATACAATGAATCTTTAAGAGTCTTTAAACTGTCAAACACCAAGCGGTCACCGGTGACCGCAACCTATCCTAATTGTGTCTACAAAACCGGTACTCGACGAGTTAATTGATAATTTTAGACATTAATTTTTATCAATGTTTATGTAAATTGGGATTTTAGAGTAGGCCTTTTGCTACGGACGGAGGACTTCAAAATATATAAATGTTTTTGTTGATCCAGGTAGTACAGGAGAGTTTAGCTAGACTAGTGGCACATCTAGATCATGCATATTTCTCACGGTTTAAGTTAGTAATTTTAAGCGATACTTTCAAAAGCAACGCAACGCAATTATTTTTAAATGGGGGCCTGAAGTTATCATCCAATCCTTATCCTCAGATCTACATCTATTTATATGAAGTACACAGAAATATTTTTAACCTAGGTATATTTATGATCCAGAACCATTTGTTACTTTAGATATCCTGCACCGTTTGCACCTATACGAATATAAAAACTCATATTTTCCAGATGCATTTCCTTCTTGTAACAAAGGGAGCAGATTTAGATGATGCGTAATGCACAAGACAATTAGTATTCAAATGTACAATAAATGAAGTAATATGAAAGAAATGACACTACTGTCAAGGACATAAGTTAGCGTAATTGTAGCTGTGAGATAACCCAGTTAGATATATAGATGACGCGAATGAAATAGACAATAAAGTTACTTATTTATTAATTTTTGGCCATGGTCGGCCCATTACAGAGCAAAAGGCAATAAAGTTAATATAATATAACTAATCACGATTAGTAGGTAAGCATAAACCAGTAGCGATAAGCACTGATTTCATTTAGCTCACACAACAAGCGTAACGTTAAGCCAGTTTAATGCTACTACATAGTGGGTACCTAATTATGTTAATAGTTTCATTGCAGTTTAGTTTATTGACAGCTACGAGTATCTAAATACCTAACCCAGATTTTGAAAATGTACATTACATTTTAAAAATGACCAAATCCGGATTCCTCTTTTGGCTAATTGTATTTTATCGTATGATTACCTACCAGGAGAACAAAACTATTTTAAAATGAACTGAAGTTTATTTACATAGACAAACACACAAATTAACCAAGAGGTACTTTATAACCAAGACACTGTAATGCTAGTTTACAATTGACATAACTACGTTTAAAATACTTCCCGTCTCGGACAGAAATCCCGTCGTACTTCATGTTGTGAACGTACAAAGCTGTCTGGATTTGAATATTCACTGCGGTCAATATCTGTGCGCCGCGTCCTTGACACGATGACACCAACAAGTGTGGCTATTTTAGACTGTAGTCTGTTTTCTAGGAAATTGTTACCTGCTTGCTTTTTACCGTCTCTTTTCTTTAGTAGCATTAACCGTGGTTTATGATCTCACGGTTAGCTTACGTTACTTTCAGTTACTTTCTTTCAGATAATATAATTCTTTCAGATTACAGATACTTTCAGATAGTATAGGTACGGACTTATTCAGTGACACAATTTCAGTTTTCTCTTACAAATTTTTGTCATTTTGTCTACTAGGTCTATAGTGATCACTATTTTATACAAACTGAAGCAAAATATAAAATTACAATGAGCATGTGCACCATATAATTGACGAATTCCTTTCAGATTTTTGTAACGGTAATATTTTTGGAGTAAAGTAAACGAAAACAAATGACTGAACCCAAAATAAATTATTTTATATTGCTTGTATGTTACATGTATAAAGTTTTGCGTGAGGCGATCGGTCATATGAGGCCGACTGAAGACTGAATTGTAATCGATCGACCGTGAAACTGATTAAATGATCAATTGGCGAATTGATCAGTATCGGTCGGACGATCGGGATCGTTCGCCGAGTAAAGGTCAGAACAGTAAAGGTTAGAATCAAAGTGACTCTGTTGCTCATTCTACATTACTGTATTAAATGTGTAAACTTGAATAGTTGAACCTATATGCGACGCCTGTTTGGACGGCTCGAGTCGTGTGCGAGGCCGATACTGCCCATACAACGTCATAGGTACATATCTCACAAATTTTTACGAAGTAGGTACAGTCGAAAAAATTTTAAGTACTTACATTTTTGTGCAGTTAGTAATGTTAACCTTTCTGTTGAGGGCACAAATCTACCTACTAATTGCCCGATTGAAATTAAATAAACGAATGGCCCCGTTTTGAGTCAAAAAATAAATGGTCACGTTAATTATTCCAGTGTGTATGCTGAACTCCGCCTAATCTTTCATTTTAAAAAAGTTTGTTATAAATTGGAGAGTTTCCTTCATTATTTATTTATGATAATAACAATAGATGGCGCTGCTGTCGTGTTGTGCACCTACCGCTCTTGTGAATATTATGTGTCGAGTATGCTATATAGTACCTTATAAACTTAACAAGTTATAGTTGTACTTAAGTTAATTTGAACTTAATACTTTAGGCCCGCAATCAATTTTTAATTATATTATGATTACTTTTTTATTAAATATGGACTACGCCTATGCAAGAATCGCTAGCACTATGCACGAATATAACTAGCTGCTATATACCTACCTAAACCAATTAAAAATTGGCCTACATATAGGTATTTTACAAACACATAAACGTAGGTAATAAATATCTGTCGGCGTACATACAAATACATTTTATTATCTACAAATATGTACGTATACCTACCTAATAAATATTAATTCTATAGGTAAGTCCTGTGCAAACGAGCAAGTTGAATGGAAAGATTAGTACATTAGTGTCGGCTCATTAGTTGAAGAATTTTCCGATACCTTTCCGGTAACACCTTTATTGGAATTCGATATTTTAATCCGGTTAATATTATGTAAGTACATTTAATAAGAACTCATACTTATTTAGTGTGTTATTATAGTATTTTTTGTAATAAAACGTTGATTCAGACTCTAAAAGACTCAAAATCCTTATAACTAGGTGGCGTAGGCATCTTAGCTATGAGATTTTCGATAGGATTTTTTCTACGTCACTCATTTTCCAAGGTGAAAGGTAGTACCGTAGTACTTAGAGAAAGCTAGAAGTAGGGACTTATACACTTCTGTTCTGTTGCTTCTCCAATTTTATTTGTAACATGCAAATAATTCAGGATCGCCTACATACTTAATAATACTTTACCAGACTTGAGAATTTAAACTCTCTAGCTACCCACAACGTGACTTACACAGCAGACACTGGTAAAACATTTTTATTGTAATTCCGTTGACTACATTTTTTATTCTGCAGTTTTTTGCGACGGTATAAGATATGAATCTTCACAAGTAACAGGGGGCATTGAACTCTATGAATAAAGTAAGGTTCTTCACTATTAGGAACATTATACAAGGTTATTAAGTAGGCATTCGCTTTTATTTTAACTATTTTCGGTATTTTTTGCGATATACCCACGAAGTATCAATGCGTGAAGATCTTAGTTTTAACTAACTGTGGCGGGCTACAAGTTTCTAATCATTTTTATTACTTTATCTGCCTAATTTATTTATTTTTACCTATTTTAAGCATTAATTCTTAAATACGTCATGCTAAGCAGTAGATAGTTAGGTTAGGTTATAAAATTGTAATTTTACTTCAATTATTTAAAATTCCAAAAGGTAGGTTAGGTAATAAGTTAAAGTTATTGTAAATTACTAAAATATTACACATAATTAACTCTTTTTGTTTACAAAACCAACTTCTTCCAATAATCACGAAAAGTACCGTTAGCATAAAAATCGTAATAGACAAAAAAGTGCCACAATAGGTACGTCACAAGTCACTAGTCGTAAAGGTATTGGTCATTGACATTGTCATACACAGTACAGAGTACAAACAAGTTCCGCCGATTCATAGAAATAATTTGACGGAACATTGATATTCTGGGTGTGAACGCGCTTGACGAATCGGCCACACTAGACTTTATTATTAAAGTATTGGATTAGCAAATATTACCATGTTACCATTATGAACCATTCATTTGACAATAAAAGTAGATCATATTATGATAACATGATTTAATTATTCGCAGATTGTAAGTGGATTTAACATTTCCAGCACATGATTGTGGTCATTTTACAAAAATTTACAATTATTACTTATTTTATAAGCCAAAGAAGTGTTCTTCTAATAAATTACAACCACAATTCATAAAAATTCAAGTATGCTATCGATAAGTGCTGTAACTCATACCAGTACCAGTAGGTACGTACATACTTACTAACTACTACTAAACCGGAGAAACAATAAAAAAACAAATCTACCTAATAAGGTAATAGGTACACATTTCACCATAAACACTACCTCTAAAAAATTTACGAACACGCAATTACTGGATCATAGTTAGTAAAATGAATCATCAACACACTACACGGGTGACGTCACACAGAGTAAACCTAAGACATTGTTGATTTGATACATATGACTATAACAATCTATCACTATGCGAATATGACTCAATCATGTCTTAGGAATATTATAGGTAAAGTACGTATTTAAATGCAAAGAATGATAATTAAATTTATGAGGAATTAAAATAGTTCTACACCTCACGCCGAGACTCTGCGAATTATTCCATTCTCCGCGAGAATCGAACATGCAACAAGTTGCACAGCAGCCAATCGCTATATATTCAGGTATATTATTAATAAAACTATTTACAATGGCAAATAATCAAATTAGCAATTGAGCACTGGTACTTCAATAACTGTTAATTAAAACGGATATGATATATAATTCATCATAAATATTTAATAAGCTAGGTAAAATAAGGTATTAAGTAGGCATTTATTGGTTGGTTAAAATCATATTCATATCATACCTAATTATTAAGTAAATTCTACACACCTAATTAAACGTTACGCTTCTAGCAGACACATTAATAATATTTCTGGAAAAGGTAGATGAGTTATTAGAATAAGAGTTTTTGAAACGACTTAGTAACAAACTCCTCTGAAGGATCCATCGTCCAGCTGACGCGTTATTTTTTTGTTTTCTTTACTTCAATGATAACAATATTTCAAATTTTATAATTTTCCAATTATATTAACTCGATTGAGTTTTGTTTATACCAAAAGTTGGTAATCTATTCAGTTACAGCACGCGCTAAAACTTTGAAATTAAAATGAAGTCTCTATGGCGTAGTGCCTGCTCACATATTGTATTTAATGTACATTATTTAAATAGTTTCGTTCTGTTATAAAAACTCATTGGAAGTAGACTTATAAATTATGTACCAATTCCTATGAAGAATATAAATGAATGAGGCTATTTGAGGTCGATAGTAGTGGATACTCAGCGAAGTAATAATATCTAAAGATGGTAATAGCTATACAACATACGTACATTTAGCGTAAAGTACGGCAGAAATACCTAACTTTATGAAAATGTTCGGTATGGGTAATACTTGAGAAAAAATATAAAAATAAAAGAATACTCACACGATAACTAAACGTGAACAATGTAGGTCACACAAATACACTACTAATTCAATTCGAAAATCGAAAAACAATTAGGCAATTTGTTTTGCTAATCTGCTGACTGTACACAGACGGCGTGAAAGCGACCAAACATAACCTAAAAATATTGCGGCAATATTTTTATAAACACTCACTCTAAAACTTTACTTTAATATAACTATACACTTATAAATCACTATATACATCGATACACTTAGTATTTATCACTGAAATATCACTGTAATGTTCCTCTTTCCTCAACATAACGGGCACTGATTCACTTTACGAGCCGCTGTTCCTCAACTGTTCATCATTTGAGGCAATGGTACGATGTCAGACAGCCAATAGGAATGTCGACGCACACACGGCTGCCCATTTAAAAATTACACCATACAAAATAATATTAATGAATTGTTGTTCCCGTTGAACCCCTTTGAGGTTATGTGAGGTGACAGGGTGAAAAGCCGGCGCATGCGTACTTCAACGTAGTACCCGCAGCGTTAAAAATAAATAAGGTCGAAACAAAAAGTTTTGATACCTAAGGAATTAGTTTTTAATCTGTGGCACGGCCTTGAGTTATTTTTAGCGCGATTTCTACGAGTACAGAAAATTTTCTTTTCGTTAGAAATTTCGTAGACCGTTTTGTATAAAAACACGATTTTACGCTTAGTATAATATGTCGTACTGAGCTGAATGGTGACATCAGACTGGTATTCAATATAATTTAGTTCCAGCTGAACCGACGGTAATCAGCGTGGTTACGTCAAGTGGGGTGGCAATTATCATTTATTTTATTTCGTTACGTCAGCTCGCGGGGGAGTCTCAGGTAAAATTTATTGAAATATAAATCAATCGTTTATTTGGTCATTTTTCGTGAACCTAATATAATTATTACCTGAAGTGGGTAGGTAGGTACCTAACGAACTACATAGGTACATAAAACAATCATCGCGGAAGTGTGTTTAGCTGAGACACTAACCAGTAAAATATCTAATGAAGTAGGAAAGAAATAAACGATTATACCGTCCAACAGTCTAATGTATTTTTTTAAATTCCTTTTGCCAATAAGTAATATGCACTGTGTGCAACCAATAGAAATTATAGAAAGAGACGTAAGTAAGTAGGTATCACTGTGTCTCTTTCATTTCAATGCCTTTTCTATTTTTTAAATAATCTAGTTTTTTTTAATTATTATTTCGTCCAGCCCCAGCACCATCACGAGACAATAGGTAGGTACAATCGATTCAAACTAATTGGACGGCTATAAAAGTCCTTTTATAAAACCAACCGTAATTCAGGTGGATAAGGTTTAAAATCAGTTGGAATAAAAGGACACATTTAACTGGACGAGCATGACATTCCGTGGTGTTGATGAAAATCAATCAATATGTCGTCCATCATTGATTAAGCTGAATTGTTGTTAACGTGTGATGAATGGTATAATAATTATTATGTGTTAGTTTATTTATATAACATATTTTTACAGGACGTTCTATAGTTTTCTTACCATAGCACAACGTCCTACCCTTTTTTTTAAAGAGGGGAAAATCATCGAGTTACTTCTCCCGCCTCTGGGTGAGGCGGGACTGGGAGGGAGTGTCAGACTCTTACTGCCTAAAAACCACCCCATTCCTACTCCACTGTGTGTTCCACCGTATCCTCAGGGCGGTCCTCGCAATGATGACACCCGGGCGTTTCTTCCCGCGCTATCAGACACAGGTATCTCCCGAAGCTCCCATGTTCGGTGAGGATTTGCGTCAGGCGGTAGGTGAGGATGGCAGCGAGCCCAAATGTCCTTGCCTAGCACATGTATCTGTTGATTAAGTTACTTCAAACACTAAACTCGACTCGACCTTAACCGAATCTTTTTTATACTGTGACGTTGCTGTCCATTTCTTTAACGCTGTGAAGTTAAACCTACTCAGAGACCCTGTTATTAAAGTAACATTTAAATAATAGATTTCAATATTCCGCCTAGCAACGGGAAATATGTGGCGATTATGACAAAAAGCAGCACTCAACGCACTGTTAGACATTGGGTATATCCAAACCGAATTACCTACCTCCTAAATAAGGAAGAAATTATCGCTGTGTCGATAGCATGGACCAATAGTCCATAAATATAAAACATAACTCGATTTAAAGCAGAATTAATTTCTGTAAGAGAATTAGAAAATTAATAAAACCTAGGTAGGTATATCGCTTCCAGCGCCTATCAATATTAGATACTTAATTACACAGATATTATTTCAACGATACTGGTGACTTTATAAGTTATACCGTCACCAGCATTGCAAGTTAAAATAAAACACGTCTTCAGAATGTGTTTTATTTTTACCTAACCAACAATATGTTTCTTTGGAATTTGGATGATCATCAAATCATCACATTGCTGCATACAACCGCTGCATACTCATCTTTAATTCTTTATCTATTTTTATTCTTAACTATGATACCTAACTATTAAATCTTCGAATTTTACAAAATAATAACTAGGTTCTCTGTTCCGGGAATCCAGTCGTCAGACATCGCCGCACCGCATTCATTTATGCGATCCTGGTTGGAGACAAAAATAAAAGATGTCTATAACCTTCTTCGACATCCTCTTCATTTATTTATTTACCCCTAATGCTTTTTGGACCTGTTTTGCAATCGCAATAACCCACATTAGATTGTAACTCAACAGGTAAATTAAATCACAGAGTACATTTATATATTGAATTAAATACCCTTCTTTCTGTTGGGTAATTAAAATGGTTTGAAACTTGCATCAAATTGCAGTATCGTAAGGATAACACACGCTGAACGTTTTATTTATATTTGTTTATCGATATTTTTGACTGGATTTTGGTGTTACATTGTTCTCGCACAATCCAACCAATAAAACTATGTAATTAGAGATTTGTATTGTGAACCTGATTGAAAATGAGTAACTTATGGAGTGTCTTGCTCGTGCTTCTCCATAGGAATCTACACCTCGGAATGAGCAAATAGACTCATTGTTATTTTTTTTTTGTTGTTGGCGTTCAATAGTGCCTTCCTGGTCTAATTGAAATAAATGATTTTGACTTTGACTTTTTGACATTGATTAATAATAATTATTTTAGACTCCACACAGTGTGCGCTGTGATTGCAAATTGGGCTCACAAAAAACTTTGAAAGATTAATTGAATTGGACATTGAACCGATTGAACGATATTATTAATGTGAACAGTCGAATGCTTGTGATCGTCGCAAAATACAGTGCACACTCTGTAATCCTCAGGTCAACGGTTTTGGATATAACCCTAAAACAAGATTCTATTGTAGTATAGTTTCTAAAGGTCGATGTAAATCCGAGGGAGCGAACAGGTTTTTTTTTTTGAGGGGGTAAAATCATCCAATGAATTCTTCCACCCGGGTGTGGCGTGAGGGACTGTCAGACTCTTACTGACTAAAAACGACCCCGTTCCTACTCCTGCACTTCGAGCCGGAGCCCCGGCAACCCGTTAAGTCTTCCGCGGCTCCGTATCGGCATCAGCCCTGTTGGACTCCATCTGTGATGGTCTAATGGCTCCTAAGCGAGCGCGGAACGCGACGCGCCGTACGTTCCGGCCTGGTTCTGGTCGAGCGGCAAGTTACCCGTGCTCGTCGTTCGCAGGCCCGTGCTTACGGTCGCCGGAGATCGTCTCGCCATCTGAGACGCCCGGAGTGTCTCTAGCGTCGGCTGTGGCGTGAGGAGGTTCGTTCCCTCACGCGCCACGCCTCCTCCTTAGCGAACAGGTTTAGCAGCTAACCTACATATGTAGGGAGAGACTTGTTTACTATTAAGATCTGTCCAGGCCCGAGGCCCAGGCCAGTATTGTAGGAAGTACCTACCTACGGTATCCGTATTATTTGACCACGACTCGGCATAGGTACGGTCAGCACCAAACACCACAACCGCCTTAATGCAATACAAGATAATTATTTATATCTGTTGCTTGTCATGTTGACCGATTCAGGCAATACGCTGTACAGCGATATGTTGTGTGTTGACGTGAATTCACAATCACAGTCCCCACAAAGACCCCTAGGTCCTGCAAGTGTAGGTTGTGAAGACTTTGTCGAATGTTAAATTACTAGGCAAGCTACTCGTAAATTAGATAAATCCATAAAATTAGGCATTACCTTTAATAAACAAAACAAAAACTGATCTTTAATTAGGTAAATCATGTACCTTGGTATTTTTTATGTAAACTTCAGGGACTCGGTATAGGTACCTACCCACCAAGGAAAGCATTTTATTGAATGAAATAGCAGAGCGTCCTCATTTGAGACTTGATTCAAACTTAACTCAAGGGCGTTCACACTCCACCCCTTTTAGGTCCGCTCTAATGAATAAATTAAAGAGAACTATTACTAAGTAGTACCTACGTACAAACATTGCTTGCTAGTTCATTTGTTAAAATTGTTCGTATCCTACATTCCTAGACAAAACGAAATTTTAAGTCTAGGAGACTAAAGCTGAAATACTCCAACGCTACTCAATCTTAAATCGCGCTTAAGTACCTACCTATAGTTCTGTCACTACAAATTGTGAAATGACCGAGACGGTACGATATCGATTAATTCATATATTATTATGTCTCGTCAGCCAAGTGGTCGCAAGTGCAAGGAGTGCCGGGTACAACTTAATATGGAGTAACTAGTCTTTCAGTATTCAGGTGTTAAATGTGTATTGATAACAAAATCTCACAATTTTATTTAAGTATGGATAAAAGCATGGGCAACTAAAATATTATTTTATTAAACTGTCAAACACCAAGCGGTCACCGGTGACCCGGTGACCGCAACCTATTGTTCTATAATTGTGTCTACAAAACTGGTACTCGACGAGTTAATAATACATTCGGTTTTTAGGCACAATGCATAGCTATGTAGCTAAGCAAATTACACCGTAGTCTAAGTTTTTTTCCAAAAAAAAATGTTATCTTAATAATTCTGTCAGCCTCTATCTATAGCAACGAAAGTCTTAATCAAATTATTACACAAATAATAAATAGTTAACATTTATATTTTATAAATTTATTTATAAAATGCTATTATCGAATTACCTCGTAATTCCCGTAAGTATCTACCCACACATTAAAAACTATTGATAAAATTATCTACCTACGTTTACCGCCCAGTTATTAAATTAATTGAGTAATATTTCCTGTAACTAGGTCACGCTTTTTCAGAACATAAATTAGTATCAGCACTCGGTACTAGTGAAAACTATTTAATGGAAATAGTTTTGATTTATTCAGTATCGCTGCAATACACTCTGCTGCGTAATTGCAATAACAATAAATTCAGGTGCAGTTCATTGACGTGGAAGATTCCTTTATTGCTATTTTTGTATTGAAGGAGATCAAGTTTCCAGGAACCTTTTGCATAGTATAAACAAAAACAACCTATTTAATAAAGCTATTAATAGATGAGTAACTTCACTAGTAAGTAGGTAACTTACGTATGTAGGTTCTATACAGGTACTATACAATGAGCTCGTGAAGGCTCTTTGAAAATTGAAATTGCCTTGCTCTGTGTTGTGTACCAAAGTATATTATTATATGTAGTTTTTATCCCACTCAATAGAAGTGTGACATAGCCTCTGAATTAGAGGAACTTCATTAAGATTGACCTATATAAGATATTATTATTATCATATCAATCTGAT